GTAGTTCCTTATGTTGGGATCAGTGTCTCTGAAGTTTAGTCGTAATGTTTCCCGAGCAAAGGTGATGCATCCTGTAGAACTGGTGTGTAGATAGGGCCTGCGGCCCTTGGGCCGGAACGAATGTCGCGGGGTTTTTGCGTCTTCGATTACCTGGGAAGATCGGAGTAGTGCTAGGGGAAACTATATATCCATTCATTGCTGTTGATTAGGTCCTGATTTTTGGAGGCTGCAAATCATATAGGAGGAAGCTGCCTATCTTTCTCCCAGGTGGATATGAACTGCCAGAGAAGCACAGCTTTTGAGGTCGGATTCCATGGAGTGTCAAAAAAGAACACACAAATCTGCATTGGAAGAAGTGTAACCACAGGTCTACTTAGGGACAAGAACGGCACATTTTGTTAGAAGGCCCTAGTCTTTGGAAGAAGGGCATTATGTTTGGAAAGTAAAGGGTGAGCAAAGAAGAGGAAGGCACCCAGTGAGATAGACTGACACAGTGACTCAACAGTGGGCTTTTAAACACAGTGGAGAGAGATTGTGAGGAGGGTGCAGAATTGAGCAAGATATCAATCTGTTCACAGTCCTGCTATGAGTCAGAGTCAATGTGATGCAACCTAACAGCAGTAGCTGTAGTAACCTGACCAAACTCACAATATTAAAAACACTTAATTTTATTTTTTTGCTTCCTACTTCACTCAATTCAATACCTATTGTAAAAATAACTTTGTTCAATTATACTCTTTTACATGTAATAGTGGAAAAGAAAAATATATCTTATACTTACTCATGCAATTCTCTTAGTGGTGAAGTCAAAATAACCAGTGTTGTAAGCAGATTGTTACAATGGGCGTGGATTTTAAAAATTTTGTCATCTCTATATTCATGAGGGTTCAAAAGACTCTGTACAGATGGACAGACTGACCATAACATGTTCTCAGTACATATTAAAATTGTTGTGATATCAAGTCTATTGGAAAGAAAAAGTGAAAATGAAATTTAAATTATTTTTAGCTTTGCATATACACTTTACATCTTATCTCTTATATCGAGCATATTTAATAATAAAAAAATTCATTAGATACCAGACCAGAGCTTCAGATATTGAAGACAGAAAACATCAAAGGCAGCTTCTGGGTTTCTGGGTATTAAGTGTCTCATAACAAACATAATTGTCTTTAGGGCCTGTAAGGCCTTATATTAGTGAAGTATGTTTAAGGTCTGTCTATACTGTATTATACAGATTCTGTTGAAGAAGTTCTAAAGGATGTCCTTAAAATTACATTAAGAAAAAATATATTAAGCAAAAGAAAAACAACAACAACAATTATTTTAGCTACACATATATGGAAGGTAAATATTCGTTGGCTGAATAATTCTTTTTACCCAAGTGTAAGTTCTCAAAAAAAAAATTTGGGACTTGGGAGATAAAAATAAATGATAACTAGATATACAAATGAAAAGGCCTATAGGTTCAGAAATTTCCAATGTTAATTAAATTAGTGGAATACACAGTGATTATTTATATTATTTCTTATATTTATATTATTTATAGTATGATTTTCAATATTTATATTTTTTATCATTTTTGTTTCTAACTTCTTTGAGTTTTAATAGTTATCTTAGTGTATGCCTAAATTGTATGGGCCTCAGTTAATTTCTACTTTCTTTTAAAATTCAAGATAGAAAAAAATAGAGGACGGTAATAGTAAAGTGAAAAGTAAAATAATTTTTAAGACCTTTTAAAATGATCTTTAAAAATAACAGATGTATATCTTTAATTAAGAGCAAGGTATAATCCACATATCCTTTCATTGCTGTTGATTAGGTCCTGGCTCATGGCTGACCCCCAGCAAGTTTCCAGAGGCTGCAAATCATACAAGAGGAGATTACCTATCTTTCTTCCAAGGAACTGTTTTGGTGGATTTGAACTGCTGGAGAAGCACAGCTTTTGAGTTTGGAGCAAAATTCTCTATGGATTATGAGCTCCTATGGGAAGACTAAAAACCACCAATATGTGGTAGTATTTTTAGTTTGTATCCATTTACTGTAATTAACCAATTACTAGTCCAAGATACAGAGATATATGATATATCAGATTTCCCTAATAATGGTGATGTAAGATTAACTATTCGTATAAAAATATTTTACTTGGGCAAACTATAAAAAACAGCTGTATCTTTGTATGGCATTTTAATACAACTACTTTGAAAACAAAACTCAGAATTTTCTACACTTCAGTCCATTTAATGAAATATACTACTTATTTCAAAAGTTGACAATAAACATAATTTTATAAACGTCTCAAAATAACCTGCCAATTCATACATGATCTGTTGTACTTAAAGAATGTAGGCACTCTTGGTCTCATAAGCTATTTTTTTATTTATCTTTCAGAATTCAACTTAAAAAAACCCAAATCTATGTCCGGTAATTCAAAACAGCCTGTGTGAAATACCATTTTTATGAAACACTGTAGTAGGACCTAAATGCCCTTCAAATTGTAGCATGGTTAAAGGAATGTGATCAGGAAACGATTCCTACTAGTTTTTTTAAAGCACCTCTTCAGTTTCCTAAAATATATCTCGAAAAAAAATTTCCTACCTAAAGGCAGGTCCTAATCACATTAGATTTAATATTTATAAAATCAAAGCTATGTCTTCATACTGATTATTGTCACGTAATCACATTCTGTTAATAATTGTTGCCTAGTCATAGAATTTTACTTATGATTAAGGCCTAGTGACTCTTGATCCTACTTCCAGGGATTTCACATTTGCTGAACTGACTTTTAGAAATATTTCATGAGAAGAAGGGGGAAAAGTCATAATAAAACATGGGAAAAGTAATCATAATGGAAAGATGATTGGCCAAAGTAATTTCCTTAATGAAGATAAATATTATATTTAATGTCTTTAAAAATAAAACTAAAATTTCCTGGTTGCCTAGATACTCAAACATATATTGGTCTTTCTATTACAGCGGTCTGGTTTCGCTCCATTTCAGGATCTGAAGTTTCTCTCCTTAATCTTGTTAACTTTCCTAGACGTTTCAAGACGTCTTCAAATCACTTTTTAGAAGCAAAGTGAGATCTATATAAAATCATTAAAAAGAAAAAAAAGGAGAAAAATTATTTTGATTGAAGTTCTACAATTCCACTTAAATGGCTGAGGAGAATTGAATATTATTTTCATTACAGATGTTAGAAACGTATTAGATATACCAGAAGTTATGTCATGAAATACAAGATTACAATCTGTATTATGGCAACTAATGAGGGGCAGGAAGTTTCTGGAAAAGCAATGGGTGTCATAACTTCCAGTTACCTTATCTGTGGAGTTCTCTTATAAGTGGGATGGGCCCGAGCATATCTGGAGGCCAGAAGACCCAAAGACTTCTCAAGTACTTCTGCAAGAATCTCCTGGGCTAATTTAGGAGGCAGAATGGTCCAGAGATCGTGATGAAGAGACCAGCAGAAATAATGCCACATCTGGAGTGAGAAGGAGCATCTTTCCCCCTGGCAAAACCACCACACATTAAACAATAGAATCACATCTTCCAAAATGTCAGTTTGCTTCCTATAAACCTAATTAGTTCAGGCTGAAAGGAAATAGCTAGAGAGTTTGACACACTAGATGACCAAGAAAGATTTTTGACAAGATGTAAAACATCCTTATTGACAAAGGAACATATGTTCTATTTCAATTACAAGACCAGATAGTCTAGCACAAATTCAAACCACAAGTTTTTAAGCCAGCACAGTCTTAATTTACCTACTCCTGGCCTAGCATTTAAAAGGCATTTTTAAACAATCAGCTTTGTAGTTAGTTGCCAAAGAAGAAGCAATACCAGTTTAAAATAGTGGGTATACTCTTCCAAAATGGAAAGTTAGTTATTCAAATTACATAAGTATGTATATTTTTCTGAGACTATCAACATCACCGAAATTATTTTATAAATATTTCATATTTCACAGTATAATAAAATGGCTGGAGGAAAAATACACTTGCATACTACATACTTACCAACAGACTTTAAACCAAGGGTGATGGCAACTTTTGAAGATTGTATTAGTCTGTTTCACCCATAGCATTTTTGTAACAACTCTAGAAACAGATCTTAAGATAGTTTGGTTTTACAAGACTTGGTAAAGCAGAGGCAGATGTTTCTTAGTATTTTTACAGCACTTCATACTTGTAAGGGACTGCATACCTAATCGTTTCAAACATTCCCTAACTGCCTGCCCCCTGACAGATCTCTTCTGTTTGCCAAATTACCCCTGACCACAGTGAGAAACCCAAAAGCAACCAAGGCTCAGGGCACCAGGCAAAAATGAGAAGGTGGCCTCAAGTGTTTTACCAACATTAATTCGTTAATAGGCTCTTGGGAAGGTATGCTAGTAGTTTGACCTCAATAGAATGCCTTCTACAACTATTGTCCTGATTATGTTATTATGTTAAAAGTTGAATTAGTAAAACTTGCCCTTTTATTTCTGTGCAATGCTCTTTTACCTAAAATCTCTGCTCGGTCTACTACTTATTTTCTCAAACAAATGTCATCTAGAAACTTCGGTCAAAGCTGACAGTTTCTTATGAAGATTCTACTGTTAATAATTTATTTATATGATATTTTTCTAGTAGTTTATTTAGGTACTAACATCTTTTGTAGCAACAGTAACAGCACTTGGACTGCTACCAATTAAATTTAGAGTGTGTAAATGGGCAAAATTGTTATTCTTTAACACATTGCCGCACACTTTTAAATTGAGGACTGTGCTTAGAAACACATATAGCCGTTATTTGCTGCGTTATTTGCTGCAACGTATTAAGTGAGAAACCAGCATAAAAGTGAGGGTGAGGGGGGATTGTGTACCA